ACAACTTTTGTGTTGAATTTTTTTTAATTCGAGGCCATCTTGAGAGCCGAATCACTGGTGCAAAAGCTCTTGTTGACAAAGGACGCTCAGGCAAGACCAAGAATATCTCCTCCGAGGAGGCATCCAATGTAGGAGCAAACAGGGACTACTTAAGACATGTCCTATTGGTAGATATTATTTTTCTCTCGCCTTTTATATTTCGTCTCGACGAGACGAAGAATTTTCATGTTGAGGAACTTCTCATTTGGAGCCATCTTAATTGTGTTTTTGGCCATGCTTTGGTGTCAACACCCGTATCGCGTAGAGAGGAATTGGAGGCGAGGCGGACGAGCAGTTGTGCGAGTGTAGTGGACTTCATGCGGATCTCACTCTCCTTTGTTTTGAGCGAGAGCGAGAGGCCATCAGTTGTGTGTGAACAAAGGAATACCTGACCTTTTCTATGTGGGAGATGGAGATGCAGGGCTTCTGTTTCGAAGGAGAAAAACTGGTATGATCTTGCAGTTGGAAATGAAAAAAATTAATGGGGTCATGAGAGAGGCTGCTCGTCTCATATGGTTGGAAACTGAACTGTTAATGGGAATCAAACCTGCTAGTATCCGTTTTGCTAAACTTTATATGCATGTGTGTTTTAGTAAGCCGTTGTAGTTGGAATATCCTATTTGACGCTCTTTGCGTCAAACTGCCGGTGCTTCTCACAGGCGAGCGACCGAGCAGCAACGCGATGGGACGGCCCAGTTTTTTGCGTGTACAACGGAGGTTCCTTGAACCGGTTTTTTCATTTACTGGGTTTTCTTTTTTTCTTTTGTGTTTTTATCTCTGTTTCTTTTTGTTTTGTTTTCTTTTTTTTGTTTCTTTTTTCCTTTTCCCGGTTATTTTATCTTTTTTAAACTAAGTTCATGTTCGAAAATTGTTCTTCATAGAAAAAATTTCTTGCCTTTAGAAAATCTTCGCTTAATTTTTTTTATAAAATAAAAAATATTCGGGATTTTCAAAAAATGTTTGCGAATGCTTTTTTTTCAATTTTTTTTAAAAATGGTCGGGTATTAAAAAATGTTCTTAAGTTTCAAAAAATGTTCATGATTCTAAAAAAATGCTTTTGTTGAAATTTCAGGAAAATGTTCTTCCTTTAAAAATTTGTTCACATTTTCCAAAAATGTTCATGCTTAAAAAAACTACCGTAATCTCATTTATAAAAATTGTTCACAATCTCAAAAAATGTTCTCATTTTGAAAAATTTCACAGTTCTAGAAATTTGTTCATGTTACAAAAAATGTTCAGGAATTTCAAATAATATTCTCATTTTCAAATTTCGTTCACAAATTCAGAGAAATGTTCATTTTTCAAAAAACTTTTGCGATTTTGTTCACAATTTGAATAAATATTCACATGTTTAAAATTTTGTTCGCATCTCCAAAAAATGTATAATACAAATTTTGTTTTTTAAAAAAGTTTGTGTTTTAACTTTTTTGTTGCTGAACTAAAAAAAATATTCCTGTTTTCCATTTTTTAAAAACTAAAAACTGTTCGCAATCTCAAAAAATGTTCGAGTTTTTCGAAATTTATTAGTTTTTCAGATACCTTTTTGAAAATTATTCGCGTTTTTGGATTCTATTTGGGTTTGCAAATTTTGTTCGTGTTTCATTTTCAAATCAGAATCACAAAACATCTTCACTTTTCCAAAAAATGCGGCATTTTAAAACTGCTCGCAATTTTTGATATGGTTTCAAAATGTTTTCCAAATCTCAACGCTGCTGTCTGTTCTTATAGATTTCTGCACCTTTATGTTCAGTTGGTGGTGTCTGGTGTAGTGGCTAATGGCTCGCGGTTGGAGTGTGCGGTGGTGGGAATGATCCCTTGTACTCGCTGTTTATTTCCTGCTTTTTTGTCGCATGCGAAAGGAAACGAAACAAAGAGCGGCTTGGTGGGCTGGTCCAGACGTGCGTCAACCCTGTGAGGTCCCGTTGTAGTCACCTAAAATAAGAGCTGCGTACATCACAAGCGAAAGATCTAAGTGGGCCTGCCCATGCGAAAGGGTGTGTAAAGGGCTGGGCGCCACTTGTTTTTTGTTTTTTGGGTTTGTTCAGCTGTGCCCTCCGCAGAATCTATGTGTCCGTGTGTTGTGCTACTTCGTGTGCGACGTGTGTTGTGCTACTTCATGTGCGGCGTGTGTGTGCGTGTGTTTGTGGTGTGATCTTTCTTTGACTTTGTGGCTTCGGTGGTTGCTTTATATGTAAAGTGGGACGAAAGTCTTTTTCGGTAAAGGGCTGGCCACTTTTGTGTCTATTCTGCCCAAAAAGTCAGTTTATTATGCACCCTATGCATCGAATAGGATTCGCCGTATTGCTCACGACACTAGTTTTTTTACACGATAGTGCTCACTCTGGGCGGTTTTTACATGATTTCAACCGGTTTTCTAAGCGTATTTTTGAGCAAGACGAGTTTTTCGGGTTTTTTTCTTTTTCTTTTTTCTTTCTGATTCTTGTTTAGTTTATATTTCATTTTAAAGAAATGTAACATTTGTATGTTTCCTTTTAAGTTTGTTCTGCCTTTTTTATGTTTATTCGTTCATTTAAAAGAAATACTATTAAATTGCCCCAACGTTTTATATTTAGAAATGGAGGCAGTATATTAAGAGAAAAGATTCCCCTCAACCAGCGGATGACATCATTACATCGATCGGGCGCGTGGCCGTTGGATTGGACTTGATCGTTTGCCTATTGCGTCACGTGTTCTGGTCGCAGGAGCCCACTGGTGTCCAAAAATATCTGTGTCTACCATGTCCTGATCCTTATCCTCACAAAAGTCACCGCTCACTACTCCTCTTCTTCATGGATCGATTTCTCTCTCTCTCTCTCTCTCTCTCTCAAGCATCCACACGTCGGTCGTTGTTTCATCATCCATCCTCTCCGCTGGCAAGCACGCGCTCGGCCGTCGCGGTCGTTGGCCGCCTCCGCCACCACCCACCCTCTCTCCTCCTCCCTCTTCTCGATCGACGACGCCCCTTCTGCTGCTACCGGGTGATGAAGAAGAAGACCTGCTCGAGACCGATGATGCAGGGCGCCGTCCACTTCTGCAACATCACCGCTGTTGCAAAAAACAAATGTGCAACAAGACCTTTGTTGAAAAAAAAAATCGACAACAAGACCTTCGTTGCAAAAAAGATGCAATAAGACCTTTGTTGCAAAAAATAATATCCGCAACAAGACCTTTCTTGCAAAAAGAATCCGCGACACAATCTCTATTGCAAAAGTATGCCGCAACACAACCTCTGTTGCACAAAAATCCCGCAACACAACCTCTATTACAAATATTTGTGCAACAAGGTCTTTGTTGCAAAGTAGAGATAAGACGTTGACCCCACTAGATCCATGTCAGATCCCACGGCTCGCGAGGCGACCGTGGCGGACGCGTAGTAGCCCCCATTTTTTATACACTACACTTTTTGGCAAACGAATTAAACTTCTTAATTCAGAATTCGATCTGACTGAGAGAGTGAGTGGTCTCTTCACTGGGCCTGGCCGAAGGCCCAACAGTGTTTTGAGGGAGGCCGAAGGCGGCAACGGTGTTTTGGGGGAGGCCGAAGGCCCAACTTAGTTTACTGACTTTTATCTTCATGCTTGTCAATGTCTCGAAAAAAAAAATCTTCATGCTTGTCTGCCGATTGCTGCACCTCGCCGCCTCGCTTCGGCGGCCGGCAGTGCCGCCGTCGCCCTCCCCCGCCGCCGCGCGGCTTTGGAGCACCCCCTACCAAAACACGAGACCGTTCCGCCTGGCACCACCTCGCCGCCCACCACTGCCCCGCACGAGCGCCCATTCCCCAACCCTCGTCGGGGCCGCCGGTCGACAGACCAACCACGGCTAGGAGTCTCTGGGAAAGGTACGCATTTCTTAGGCCGTTTCTTCAATATTTAATCCGCTTGTTTTTTCCTACAATGGAGAGGAAAGAGATATGAGACCTCGTTATGTCATCATCTGTAAATTCATTGGCCGCCTTATTTTTTTTTTTAATTTGGCAACTACGAAAGTGAAATTTGTTTGTCTGAGATGTGGTGTCCTTATCTTGTACATGTGGTCTGATCTAGCAAGATGTTGAACTAGTACACCTCATTCCACGCGCTCTATTGACTGGGAATTTGTGCACTCCTTTCGTCTTCTTTTCCAAAGTCACAATCGATTGCCCAGGCAGATCTTAATTTGGTTGTTCTTCCCGCCTGATTAGTATCTGTAATTCTAAAATTGCTACGATATCATTGTTTTATCAGGCACATTTGGCTGGGCTTCTCCTGAGTCACATTACTGTTAGATGCGGCATTCTTCCACATCTCAATTTTTTTTGCTAATGTGTACAGCCAAGGCGATCAACTTGGAAGAAGCACTTTGGTTGGTGCCAGTTCACTGTCCTCGTGGTCGATGGCCAACTCTCCGTCTTCATGGTTCAGCGGCACCTGCAACTGATGCCGTCGGCCGTGTATATCCTAACATCCACCTCAATGGTACACTCCATGCCTTCTACCCTGCAACTTTCCAAAACCTCATCAACCTAAACAAAAACAATCTTGTTGTATCGTCCCTGAAAACTTATTTGCATAATCTGATGATTTAGTACTTAAGCTCACATCCACAGGGGCAAACTAAGATGAAGGGTTGTACTCGTTTTTCTTTCTTTGTGACATTTTGGAGGCACCGTGAGCTGACATACACATAGTCAGTCATCGGTTATGACCTTACTGGAGACTACTAGTCACTTCCCTGTGAGGCTGGGAATCAGGATGCCCAAGAGTGTGGCCTGAAAGCACTGACTCTAGATTTGTTATTTCCCTCCCACGACCCCAACTCTGAAGTCTTTGCACCCATATACCTGTTCAGCGATAGCATCACAATGTATTTGTACTTTTGTGCAATTGTGCATTCGTTCTGTGTGTACTCTATCTATTTCCAAATGCAATGCATAGAGCACCCTGCAGCTTGCCATTTTCTTACCAACACTATAACCTGCTGCAATGGCACTGCAGAAACTCTTCCACATCTCAGTTTTCCTGCTAGTATGCGCAGCCAAGGCAATCAACCCTGAAGCTGAAGCACTACTCCGATGGAAGTCCACTTTGATTGGTGCCAACCCGTTGCCCTCGTGGTCAATTGCCAACTCTACGTGCTCTTGGTCTGGCGTCACCTGTGACGCTGCCGGACATGTTACCAAGCTCCACCTTTCCGGCTTTGGGCTCCATGGTACGCTACACGCCTTCTACTCTGCTGCGTACCAGAATCTCATCAAGATCAAACTCAACAGCAATAATCTTGTTGGCACCATCCCAGCAAACATATCCCTTTTGCCCACGCTCACCATTTTGGACTTGAGCAACAACAATCTTGTCGGTGCCATCCCCTACCAACTCAGCAAGCTACCAATAATTGCTGAGGTTAATCTGGGAAATAACCAATTGACTAACCTAGAATATGACAAGTTCTCGCCTATGTTCAGCCTGAAGCTATTATCTCTAGCTAACAATGATCTCAGTGGAACCTTCCCACAATTTATCCTCAACTACACCAATGTGAGGATGCAATTCCTTGATTTGTCAGGTAATGACTTCTCAGGGCTGTTACCAGATTCACTGCCGGAAATGGTCCCAAGGTTGAGGTATCTAGATCTGTCAGCTAATGGATTCTCTAGCTTGATACCTCGCTCACTCTCGAGGCTCCAGAAGCTTGAGATACTGCTTCTCAACGAAAATAATCTTACAGGAGGGATCCCAGAGGAGCTTGGGATGGTACCTGGATTGCGAGTTCTTTCACTAAGCAACAATTCACTTGGTGGGTTGATCCCAGGCTCTCTTGGGCAGCTTCAGTTACTAGAGCAACTCAATATCAGAAATGCTGGTTTGGTTTCTACTCTTCGACCCGAGCTGGGGAACCTTACTAATCTCGAGCACTTGGACCTGGCACATAACCAACTATTTGGAAGTTTGCCACCATCTTTGGCCAGGATGCAAGCAATGTCCTGGTTCATTGTACATGACAACTATATCGATGGTACCATCCCGGCAGAGCTGTTTTCAAACTTGACCAACCTCGCGGTATTCGATGTAGCCAAAAACTTGTTAGCTGGAAGCATCCCATCGCAGATTGGTAACTGTAAAGAGATAATCACTCTCCTCCTTTCAAACAACAACTTTACTGGTTCCATCCCAGTAGAGATGGGCAGCTTGCCGAACTTGCAGTTTTTGGTCATGTCAAAGAATCACTTTACTGGAGTGATACCATCTCATATCGGCAATGCAACATCTTTGAAATTCCTTGCCATCAGATCCAACCACCTTGACGGAGAGCTTCCTGCAACCATGTCCGCGCTGATAAATCTTGTTGCTCTCATCTTGTCTGGCAACAAGTTTACGGGTATCATACCTAATATTGACAACAGGCAGTTGCCGTCTGTCAAGGCGGCCAAAAATAAAAACAACAGCAGCTTCATGGGAGAATTGCCATCTGCCTTTTGTCAGTTAACACTTTTGCAACTCTTGGATCTATCAAACAATCAGTTGTCTGGTGAGTTTCCTGGTTGCTTTTGGTACTTGAAAGATTTGCAATCCTTAGATTTATCGAGCAATGCTTTTGCTGGTGAAATTCCTACCTCAAGTTGTAATTCTTCACTAAGGTCCCTGCACCTATCAGACAACAACTTTACAGGTTGCTTTCCAGCTGTGTTGAAGAACTTCAAAGCCTTGTTATTTTGGATCTCGGGAGCAATAATATCTCTGGTGTAATTCCTGCATGGATTGGGCAAAGCAATCCTTTGTTGAGGATTCTTGGACTCCGATCAAACATGTTCTATGGAAGTATTCCCTGGCAGCTATCACAACTCTCCCATCTCCAACTGCTTGATCTAGCTGAGAATAATTTTATAGGTTCCATACCAGAAAGTTTCCTCAACTTATCCTTCATGAGGCAGGCACCCACGGTGCAGCCAGGTATAAAAATCATCCTACAATATGCCACCTTTGGATATATATACAGTGGCACTATGGTCGTAATTTGGAAAGGACAGGATTACATTTTCCGGGGAAGAGATGCATTTGTGACAGGTATTGATCTCTCTGCCAATTCTCTTTTTGGTGTTCTACCTCTGGAGTTGACAAATCTTAGAGGCATCCAGTTACTAAATATGTCAAGAAATTGTCTATCTGGTAGTATTCCGAAGGATATCGGCAGCCTAAAGTTTTTAGAATCTCTTGACCTCTCTTGGAACAAGATATCAGGTCCTATTCCTTCTAGCATATCAAACCTGATATTCCTCAGTTCCCTTAATCTCTCGAACAATCTTCTATCGGGACGGATACCTACAGGGAATCAACTCCAAACATTGGATGACCCGTCAATTTATAGCAATAACCTGGGACTTTGTGGCTCTCTATTGAATATTTCATGTAAACATGGTTCAAGTCCAACGACCACATCGGATGTGGGAAAGGAATATCATGATGAACTTGAAACCATGTGGATGTACTACTCAGTGATTGCTGGAACAATATTTGGTTTCTGGATATGGTTTGGCACATTGTTTTTCTGGAAGCCCTGGAGATGTGCTTTCTTGAGTTGCATAGATGCCATGCAACAGAAAGTTATGAGGAAGATGAAGCATATCCGAGGTATAGAAAGTTGTCCAAGTATTGAATGATACCACATCAAATGAAGATGAAGCAAGATGTAAGCGTCGTGATAATTATACCTGTTTCTGTTCCCAGTACGCTCAAGAATTACCAATGTTCCAGTGGACATATTTTGCTCAAGGTTCTAGACAAGTTTGTTGTGTAGCTTTAGTCAGGGTAATGGTTTGTGTCTCGCTCATGCTTTTGTAAGTGTATGTTGTAAATCTTATAATATTTATAAAGCCTATTGTGCATGATTTTTCCTGTTGTTCAGAGTAGAATAGCAGTTTTAGTTAGCATACATTGGAACTGCCTTGAAGCCTACCTCCCCTTCAAATAGTGAAACCTCCAGCATGCACTGAAATTTTACTCCATATTCTAGTACTTCTCCCGATACAGCATCTGTATCAAGGCTTTAACTACATGTAACGGTCTTCAAGGGGATCACACGCTCTACTTCTCTTCTAAAATTGTTCCCTGGAGAAAATGGTGCCACATCACTGGCAATGACACCCCCACGACGGCAGCTTGCCGTACATGGAACCTGACGACTTTCTTCCAGTCATTTGCCTGTCACACCAGGACATGCTATCTTATTCCATCTCAGTGCTACATGTTCCTATGGTGTGCGTACAAGGTTCCTCGAAACCCAACATTAAGTTGAGAACCTTAAGAGCGTTCAACGATGTCTCAATGGTGAAGTGTGCGACCAGATGACGATCGAGTGAATGTGTGTGTGTGTTTTGGTATGCATGCGTGTGCATCTTGGCGTCTTCCCTATAGTCACAAAATAAAAAGCAATCCATACATTGCTTTGAAATAAAAAAATTGGAATTTGGAAAAAAATTTAAGTTTTTTAGGATGCAAACAGAAATTAAGTTGGCTCTTTCCCCTTTGAATGGTGAATAGATTTTCTCCCTGCAAGGAGATTACGTGCTTGATTTGTCATATGGAGGGAGAGGGAAAAATTACAGTTCTGTACTAGTCGTAGTAGGAAATAGACAACCAATTCAACTATTTTGTGGCTGCTTTTTTTGTTTTCTTGATTTTGCAGTTGCTGCGATATGTGTTTGTGTATGGTGTATGGTATCCTCATCTTACCAAATACTACTCTCTGTATTGCACATTTGGTCTTATCAAGCAAAGCTTTTTACTGGAGTAGTACACCCTGTCGCATGCCTTCTCTGACCGGGAGCTTGTGCACTCTTTCCAGTCATCTTCTTCTTTTCCGAAGTCACAATCGATTGCTCGAACAGTTCTTAGTTTGATTGTTCCTCCAGCCTGATTAGTGTTCTGTAATTTTAATACTGTAATCTTCTAGAGATTTGAGTTTTCATTATTCTTTTGGTTTGCATTTCATGGATGCAGGCTCTGTTCTGTGCAGCCATTGGATACTTGTGTCTTATCGTCTCTTTTCAAGTTAACCTGCAGACTCGGTTGTTTACCAGCATGTAAACCGTCTCAGTATTTGCATCTATCGAAGTTGTGCTCTTGCATTACGGCTATTGTTTGGGTAACCTACCTTTTCTGTCTACTTTTTGTGATAACTAATTCCTATATGCTTCTGCATCTCATTCTCAGAAGCACAGCAGGTTTGCCGGGATACTGAAATTAGCATTTGTACCATAAAAGAGCTCCTGGATAACTAGGTGATTTGTAGATACAGAAGCTCAAATACAGAGCGCTGTTGCTTAATTAAGAGTTATCACTTTCCTTTGCGACTTTTTGGAAGTTCCTTTCCTGTGGCCTGTGATACTACTTAGTTTGTCATTCTTTTCTAGATCATGTTCGTATTTTCTGGCTTTTTTCCTGTTCTTTGATTTCGCTGCTCCTTTTGGAAACCATTTTCATGGATGGTAATTTGTTCTAGCAACAGTGATGTTGAACCTTTGTGGTCACTCCCATTGACCGACTTCTCTTCCGTGACACAATGGCACTGTTGAACTGAGCTTGTGTGTCCTCAGGGGAAAAAGGAGCTTCAACAGTCAGCTCCCAGATATTGACTAGCTTGTGTTACTTGGGCAATGCAGTTGGGCAGGTGACTTGGCTTTCTGTTAATGGACACTCTCATTCACCACAACCACATATATACATGGCCGTCGGTCTCATTCACCACCATACTGGCCAGCTTTCATTGTTGGCTGGGTCCTGTACACTGACAGATTCGGTGTTTTCTTCACAGGATGACCAAGTCTTCAGTTTCTGTAGACATATGCCCGTCCAGACAAGTTTGTATAATAGACTGCCAACCCACTGCTGACCCATTCTACTGTTGCCAACCTATACTGCTGACTAATGAGTAATGACCTCCATTTTCTTGCCAACGCAGCTCACATCTCAAGAGCAGTAAATCTTTCCTATAATAGACATGCTGGCTGTTCGACTGGAGGGGCAAACACAGAGTCTACCCAGCCACACCCTTGAGCGATGGCACCACAATACAAGCTCTCATTTTTGACAACTTTGCTCTTTGCATATGCTGCTATGCATGGCCAGTGCAATCAGCCCGGAAGGAGAAGCACTCCTCCGGTGGAAGTCCACTTTGCTCAATTCCACCTACCTGTCATCATGGTCGCATGCCGAATCGACCTGTGATTGGTTCGGTGTCACCTGTGACAATGCCGGCCATGTTACCGCACTCGAGCTATCCTGGTTCAGCCTCAATGGCACGCTCAACGCCTTGTACTTCCCGGCATTCCGGAACATCACCACACTTGACCTCTGCGGCAACAACCTCATCGGTACCATCCCAGAAAACATATCGCTGCTGCTCACCTTGGCCTACCTGGATTTGAGCAACAACTATTTTGTTGGTGCGATCCCCCATCAACTCGGCAAGCTCCCATGGATTCGTTATATCGATCTTGGGAATAACTACTTAACCAACCCAGACCCTGCCAAGTTCTCGCCTTTGTCCACCGTGCAAACCTTACATCTAAATGATAACAATCTCAACGGCACTTTTCCACAGTTCATCCTGAACCGCACCAACGTTAGGTTGAAGGACTTCGACCTATCAGGTAACTTCTTCTCGGGTTCAATACCTGAGACTCTGCCAGATATGGTTCCAAATTTACTATTTCTTGATGAGTAAATTGCAAAAAACCACCATAATTAGAGACGCTAATTCAAAAAACCACCATCATTCGGTTTTTTTTCAAAAAATCACCAACATTGTGCTGACAATTTTTAAAAAACACTGATCGCACATATGAGCACTTGCTAACGCTAAAACTGACATACAGGTCCCACCACAAGTGATGATGTGGCAAACAAAACTAACGGCGTTTGACCGACCGTCAAAATAGACATGGGACCCGCATGTCAGTGTGATATCTCACATATAATAAAAAAACACATCTCTGTGTCCTCCTGCTCTCGATCCATTGTGCACGCAGTGTGCACAGCCGCCGCCGCCCCAATCCGGATGGATCCCACGCCGGACCGCAGGTCGCCGCCGGCAAGCCAAGCCGTCGCCACCCCGCCCTTATTTCTCCTCCATCTTCCCTTCTACCTTGTCGCCTGGTCTAAGCCGCGTCATGCGCGCTGCCGCGGGTCTCCTCTGGGCTGCCCGAGAGCATTGCCTCGCCGCCGATCATAGCCGGCGTAGCCACCGCCGAAGAACCGCTGCCAGACTATGTCCCTTAGCTCCGCCTTTTCGCGCTGGTGTCTATCGCCAACGGGTTCGAGCAAGGACGCCCGGAGATGGCCGAATCGAGCCTTTCTCCGCCGCTTGCACCGGCCGCTCCTCGCCTTCGATTCGCCGCCTCCAAGCCTGCCCCGAGCCCACTGAGCTTCGCTGCTGCATCGAAGTGAGCTCCTATCGATTTCCCTCCATCTCCCCTGCTCTATTTCACGCTGTAGCGCCATCCCCCGCGAGCTCCGAGCACGGCCGCCGCCATGGCCGACAAACTCAAGCAGTTCGTGCTCCCCTGCCGCCTGCGTAGTCCAGTAGCAAGCGGCGAATCCCCTTCATGTTCTTCTCCCGGCGACCACCTGCAGTCCGGCGCCACCCACCGTGGTCTACTCCCGACGCCCCCATGCAATCCGGCGACGGCCGCTTCGCCACCCAGAGGCCGGCACAAGACCTCCTAGGCCTGTCCTCGATCCGTGTTTGGCTTGTGGCTGGGAGCCATGGCAGGCGGCCGAGCGTGGTGCTGTGTGGAGCAGAAGCCGGCGGTACTGGGAGGCTCGTCAGCCGGCGGCCTGCCTGGCCGGAGCCGCGAGCCCCCGTGCGTGTACGGAGCCGCGAGAGCGCGTCGACAAAAGTCGCGAGGAGACGGGGTTGACTAGTTGCGCCGTCTCTCCTCCACCACGTGGACCTGTCATTGGGGCCCACTTGTTAGGTTTTCAATTAAATGGTTTTAATCGAGCTATCAGCGTTTTTTGAAAACTATCAGCACAATCTTGGTGGTTTTTTGAAAAAAAATCGAATGGTGGCGGTTTTGTGACTTAGGGTCCCCAATTGTGGTGGGTTTTTGCAATTTACTCATTTCTTGATATGTCCTCCAACATGTTCTCTGGACTCATACCGAGTGAATTCGGTAACCTTACTAGTCTTGAGTCCTTGCACCTATCGTTGAACATGCTATCTGGAGGTTTGCCACCGTCCTTTTCAGTGATGGGCCAAATTATAACCTTTGATGTCGGGAACAACCACCTTCACAGTGGCAACATCCCGCTAGAATTGTTTTCAAACTGGACTGAACTTGGCTTTTTCAGTATTGCAAACAACTCCTTCACCGGAAGCATTCCACGGGAGGTCAGCAGATGGGAGTCCCTGCAGTACCTCCTCCTTTCTGGCAACTGCTTCAACAGCTCAATCCCCGCGGAGCTAGGATCTTCCCTGCGGGTGCTAGACTTGTCCGATAACCATCTTACAGGCATGATACCATCGGGGTTTGGTAAATTATCATTCTTATTACAATTCCTTGACCTTAGCAGCAACCACTTGGAGGGAGAGATTCCAGCTAGCTTGTCGCTCCTATCTGTCAACTACATATTCTTGTCCAGTAACAGGTTGACAGGTGTCATCAACAAGGATTTCTGTAAGCAACGTCATCTACAGTTCTTGGACCTATCAAACAATCTCCTGTCTGGAATGCTCCCTGGTTGCTTATGGAACCTGCCTAATCTTACATACATGGATTTGTCAAGCAATGCCTTTGTTGGAGAAGTCACAACCTCGACGAATGATGCTTCTCCATTAAAATCAGTACATTTGTCCAACAACAGCTTCTCTGGATATTTTCCGTCTCTTATAAAGAACTTGGAAAGCTTAGTAATTTTGGATCTTGGAGACAATATGTTTTCTGGCACAATTCCTTCATGGATAGGAGCTAGCCTCTCTATGCTAAGAATTCTCCGACTACGGTCAAATATGTTTCATGGAAGTATTCCTTGGGAGGTATCGCAACTCTCTCATCTCCAGTTGCTTGACCTAGCTGACAACAATCTTACAGGTTCTATTCCAGTAAGTTTCGCAGACTTTACTTACATGATAGAGACAACGCCAGAAATGGATGTAAGTGCTATCCTTGCAAGCTTTGAAACATTTGGGGATATGCCTTATATGTTTTTTTTTTGAAAAGGGGGGATTCCCCGGCCTCTGCATCAGATCGATGCATACGGCCTCTCTTATTAAACAAATAAACAGGTTCTGAACAAAGGTCTTACAGAAAAAGGAACCAAAGCAGCCTATAGCTCACATAGAGCATCGACTGCAAGGCAGAAATGAGATAAGCCACAGCCCGGCTGGCAAAATAGCAGATAGGTAAACTAAACTCTTATCCTATTACATGATCGCCATCCAAACCGGTTGAAGATATCCCGCGCTACCGTCTCCCACTGGACAGATCCAGTAACCAAACGCTTCCTGGCCTCCGTCGGAGTGAGTAAGGACCAAGTACGGATCAGCGCCGTAGCCCAGAATAACACCTGCAAAAAATGAATATTTGTTGTCCTGTTAAAAACCAAATCATTCCTGCAATTCCAAATTGCCCATAATAACGCACATACTCCTACACGAATGTGTCTGGCTGTTTCGGACTCAATCCCAAACAGCCACGCCCCAAATAACGTGTTTATCGATCTCGGTGGAGTAATATTAAAGGCAATTTGCACAATGCGCCACAACCCTTGTGCCAACGGGCAATCAAAAAAATAAATGCTTGATAGTCTCATCCCGATCACAGAAACTACACCTAGTAGATCTTGTCCAGTTGCGCTTAACTAGATTGTCCTTTGTAAGAATAACTTGTTTATGCAAACCATATAAACACTTTAATCTTCAAAGGAACCTTAACTTTCCAGACCTCCTTAGTCGTAGGTATCACAGATGAATTAATGGTATCCATATACATCGATTTTAGCGCGAACACCCCAATTTTAGTTAGTTTCCAACGCAACTGGTCGGGCTGAGGATTTAGCTGAACGTCCATCAGCCTACGGACCAAGTGAAGCCATGCTTCCCATCGAGGTCCAACAAGCACTCTCCTAAACTGCATGTTTAGAGGAATAGAGTGCATCACCGTCGCAACAAGAGCGTCCCTACGCTGAACAATACGATATAGTGTTGGATATTGTGTAGCCAAAGGCGCGTCACCCAGCCACATATCCTCCCAGAATTGCGTATCATCTCCATTACCAACAATACATCTCGTTCTGTTGAAGAAAGCGGCCTTAAACCCTCATGAGCCCTTTCCAGAACGGCGAATCTGTAGGTCTGAGAGTGACTTGGGATAAAGTCTTTGAGTGCAGATATTTACTACGTAAAATCTGCGCCCAAGTTGCCTCTGTCTCAGACGACAACTTAAACAGCCACTTACTAAGGAGGCATCTGTTTTTGACTTCAAGGTTTTCAATACCAAGTCCTCCTTGGTCCTTTGGTCTGCAGATAATATCCCATTTGGCCAATCTGTACTTCCTCTTAGACTCATCACTCTGCCAAAAGAAGCGAGAACGATAAAAGTCTAGCCTTTTCCTCACCCCCACTGGTACCTCGAAGAAAGATAACAGAAACATAGGTAAACTCGTGAGCACCGAGTTAATCAGAATCAACCGGCCTCCATAAGACATGAGTTTTCCTTTCCAACAGCTTAGTTTCTTCTCAAATCTATCCTCGATGCACTTCCACTCACCATTCGTTAACTTACGATGGTGTATTGGAATACCAAGATATGTGAAAGGTAGAGACCCAATTTCACACCCAAACAATTGTGTATAAGCTTCCTGTTCGTCTTTGGCTCGACCAAAACAGAACAACTCGTTTTTATGAAAATTAATCTTCAGCCCGGACAATTGTTCGAAAAGGCATAACACTAGCTTCATGTTCCTCGCTTTGGCCAAATCATGTTCCATAAAAATGATTGTATCATCAGCGTATTGCAGGATGAACAGACCACCATCCACCAGATGAGGCACCACTCCTTCCACCTGACCGGCCTCTTTGGCCCTCCCAATCAGGATCGCTAACATATCAACCACAATATTGAACAAAATAGGCGACATAGGATCGCCCTGTCTCAGACCCTTGTGCGTTCGGAAGTAGTGGCCTATGTCATCATTAACTTTAATGCCAACACTGCCTTTTTGCGTGAACGTTTCCACTTGATGTCTCCAGCGCTCATCAAAACCCTTCATTCGTAGAGCTTGCTGGAGGAACGGCCATTTGACTTTATCATAGGCCTTCTCGAAATCCACTTTGAAAATAACCCAATCTAGTTTTTTCGTATGAATTTCATGTAGCGTTTCATGAAGGACGACAACCCCTTCGAGGATGTTCCTATCCGGCATGAAAGCCGTTTGAGAAGGTTGAACTACAACGTGCGCTATCTGAGTAAGCCTGATCGTGCCAACCTTGGTAAATATTTTGAAACTGACGTTGAGAAGGTAGATAGGCCGAAATTGCTCAATTCTCACGGCATCTGTTTTCTTAGGCAACAACGTTATCGTTCCAAAATTAAGTTGAAACAGCTGCAAATGTCCCGAGAACAAATCATGGAACATCGGTATCAGGTCCCCTTTGATAATATGCCAACACTTCTTGTAAAACTCAGCCGGGAAACCATCCGGCCCCGGTGCCGTATTACTTTT